AACTCGGCTTCCACACGGTGGTGAGGGAGGCAGCGCCAAGCAAGCTGGGAGCCGCAAGGCCTCGGCTCCTATCTCTCCTGCTCTCGGTTGAGGTGTTTTGCTTTCCCCACCTCCTCCCTCCACCAAAGCAGCACCGGCCCCGCTCGGCCCAGCCCCACTCACGGGTGCTGACGTAGAGGTGGATGGGCTCGCTGTGCACCTGCCCCTGCTCCGTGTTCTGCACAGCCGTCACGGAGAGGCGGTAGCGCTGCGCAGGGAGCAGGTCGCGCACGGTGTAGGATGCCAGCTTCCCGTTGGGCACGTAGCGGCTCTTGACGCTCTGTGCGGTGGTGACGTTGATGATGTAGGTGCCGCCAGGCGGCTGCTCCCAAGCCATGGACACGGAGGTGTCGCTGACACGGGACGCCGTGAGGTTGCGGGGTGGAAGTGGCCCTGGAGGCGACAAGGGCTCCTTGGAGAGCGTCCGCCCCGGGGTTTCCGCACCAGCTGCCCAGGCTGGACAGGGCCCTGCCCAGCTCTGCCCATAGGGGCTCCATAGGGGTGAGCAGTAATGGGACTTGGCCCTACCCGTCACCTGCTGGGGCAGGCTGGGGGACACAAAGCCCTGGCAGCCACTCATGTCCCTGGAACCCCATGGGGCTGTGGGCAGCACGTGGAGACCAGGGCGCTCCTGACGGTGCTGACAGAGCTGGGGCTGCTCGGGGATGTGATGGCTGGCGTGGAGCCACCTCCACGGGGTCGAGAGGACAAGTGTGTGTCCCCTCTGGTCTGAGTGGCCAAGATGTCACCAGCACGGGCCGTCATGCCCCATGGTTTCCAGTGCATGCTGGTGCCAAGCTGTGTCCGCCAGAAACGGCTGAGGCCACCTGCCTGGCCCCCCTCATGCCGTGGGATCCCTGCTCCATGCCTGGAGGACGCGGGACAAGCCCCTGGCACACAGGGAATGCCCACCCCAAGCCCCAGGGCACACAGGGCCCCACTCACTTGTCCACACGTGGAAGGGCGCCGAGGCCAGGCTCTCCGAGGGGTGATCTTCAGTCCCCAAGCCGCTCAGCGTCGTGACATGGACAATGTACCTCTCTCCTGGCTGCAAGTCCCTGCAGAGGAGGAAGGAGCCGGGCACAGGGTGAGTTTCCCGGCCCGCGAGCACCCGGCTCCCCCGGCGCCCCAGCACTCACAGGAAGGTGTACTTGGCCACGCTGCTGTTCAGCTCCACCGTGCGGTCTGCCAGGTCGCCAGGCTGGCGGATGGAGACGCGCACCCTACTAACGGTGGAGTGCTTGAGCCGGTGGAGAGCCCACTGCACCGTGATGGCGCTGGCCGTCACGTTCGTTATCTCAAAGCCTTCCACCGGACGCGGTCCTGGCCGGAGCAAGCGGGGAGCAGAAGCCAAGAGCGGGGTGGTCAGCGGCTGGTGCAGGAGGGTTTCTTCCCTGTCCCCCCGGGCCGGCTGCCGGGGTCCTCGCCTGCCTTCCCAGCTTGGCTTCCCTAGTGCAGAGCTGCCGGCAGCAGCACAGAAGGGAGCAGCTCTGTGTGGCTCCACCCCAGCTGCTCGACGGGCCACCACGTGCAGCTCCTTTCCCGAGCGAGAGGGCAACCGGGAGCGCTCCCAGCCCGGCCCCTCGTCCCTGGCTCTCCGTCTCTGCGGACTCAGGACGGAGGAGTTTTTGTCTGCCTGCCTGTCACTGCGCTCAGCGTCTCCGGGTGGGAGCTGGGAGCTCCCCGCGGCCTCCTCGGTGCCAGCCACGCACAGGACAGGAGCATGGAGCATCAGCCTGGCCTGGCACGCAGCCCATCGCGGGCTCTGCGTGACCTTTGGGCCACGAACCCAAGGACCCAGCAGTGACCCGGCCCCTTGGCCTGGCCCATTTTGCTGCTCCTGGCTTGAACTGTTCTTGGCTCATGGGGGTGGGCACATGGCCCATACACATTGCCCTGTCCTCACCCTCTCGCTAGAGGGCTTTTTTTTTGGCCAGTCCTAACCCTTCTCCATCCTCAGTCTGCTCTTGACTCCTGCTCCAGCCGTTTGCAGGCAGACCTGGAGCTACAGAGGTCCTACAAGAGGCACGGCAGCATCTGTCCTGCAAAGGGGGGAGGACGGCGCGTCCTCGTCCTGCCCTGGGGCAGCGCTGCCACCCCCTGCTGCTGCCGTGCCCCGATGTCACCATGCCCCGAGGGCTCTGCTGCCTTCTCGGGCAGTGTCGCCATGCCGAGACGCAATTCCCTGTTGTCGGCGCAGGTTTTCCCGCGCAAAGCCGGGGAGCGTCTCCCAGACGCTGTGAGCCCCGTTTGGATGCAGAAGGTCCCTGGTTGTGACGGGAGCTGGCGGGCCCAGAGGCGGCCAGGACAGGGTGCCCGTTGTCCCTACGTGCCCGCGAGAGGCAGCTCCATCCTCACCACCGCATCCCCCCGAAGACGCTACTCACTAGTGCGCGTGGTGAGCACGACCGGCCTGCTGATATCGTTCTTGTTGTTCACGTTGCGTTTGACTGAAAAGACAGAAATATTGTAGGCTCTGCCGGAGGCGAGTGCCCGCAATTGGTGGGCAGAACGACTTCGGTCCACAAAATCTGTCCTGCGGTAAGAGCCGTCGAAGGATACGTACGTCACGGCGTAGCCGTCAATCAGTTGCCTTGCGAGTGCGTCCTCAGGCGGGTGCCAAGAAATCAACACACCAGTGTCCTCCACCCTTTCCACCTTTAATGAGGTTGGTGGCAGCAATTCTTCAGGGTGTGGGCAAAAGCAAAGGGGAGAGGTAACGCCATAAATCTTTAGAGAACAGACCCCCGGCAACGAAATGCAGAGCAGTGGGGACGAAGGCCAGGGCCCCTTGTCTCTCTGTTTTCCTCTCTCTTTCTCTCTCGTTGCACCTTACGGAAGGCCCTGCGGGTGCCAGCTGCCACCGGGCTGTCGTGCTGGGTGCTGAGAGTCCCTGCCCAAGCAGGCTTGGGGACGGCCACCGGCAAAGCTGAGCGGAGCAGGGACAGCCAGCATGTGGCTGATGGGGCACTCGGCGCCTGCTCCGCGCAGGGACATGCCGGACAACATTCCTCTGGGGTGACTCCCCATGGGGATCGGTTGGAACAAATCGATCCAGTTATTCCCAGCCAAGGGGTTTTAAGCGGGCTCCTTTGGGAGCTCCTTTGCCTCCCCTCCTGGGGCGTCACCATCACCAGAGGGATTCATGCCGGGTGTCCCCGTGCCGAAGGGCCTCGCAGCTCCCGCAGCAGCCAGCACGATCAGGCCCTGCTGGCCCCTGCCCTGTGCCAGAC